TTACACGTATTCTGCAAATTGACAACTTGCACGCATTCTGCAAATTGACAACTTGTACGTATTTTACACATTGACAACTTGCACGCATTTTGCATTATAGATAACTTATACGTACTTTGCTTATTAGCAACTTGTACGCATTTCCAAGAAATTTAGCAAAAAACATCCTCCCTATTTAGAATTTAATGAATTATATCATATATTTATATTAAAAAATTATGAAAAGTTTCTCTTAAAAACATATATTTCGTAAACTTACAAAATATTTATAACTATTCTCTTGACATTATGGTTATTGAAAAAAATAATGAATATTTCTAGTATTGGAATTTGTCGATAAGTTTTGATTTACGTGCTGACTCACGCACGTTGTACAAAATAGCTAGGTAGATACCGAAGAAGTGTCACATGTACAGCATGTACAAGTTTTCGACTGTCAAGCCTACTGATTGTGGCATGGTGCAATGCGACGGCTTAAGGCTTATGCTCTAATAGCGTGGGGTGACGTCAAGCCAACATGACGAATCCCCAAGCCAAGGGCTGAGTCTCAACGGATCGCAGCGTGGTAACTGCTCTGCCGAGTACAACACCCCGCCAGGTACCTAAGTCGTTTACAAACGATTCCGAGTCTCTACATCGAACTAGTAACCCATGATCGACCGCTATAGGCAAGACAGATATAACGGACGGATATCGCCCCTGTCCAGCGCCTCATTCGGCTAAAAATGGCTCGTGCGATAAACGGCGTGTGCCGAATACCTAATAAATCACATTGTATTGAGCCTTTCGACTCACGAGACTCCTAGAGATATCGTTGCTTACTTTGTCTAGAAAGGATACGGCCTTAGAGGCGTTCAGGCATAATCCCACGGATGGTAGCTTCGCACCACCGGCCGCTCGACCGAGTGCGTGAACCAAATGTCCGAACCTGCGGTTCCTCTCGTACTGAGCAGGATTACTATCGCAACGACGATTCATCAGTAGGGTAAAACTAACCTGTCTCACGACGGTCTAAACCCAGCTCACGTTCCCTATTTGTGGGTGAACAATCCAACGCTTGGCGAATTCTGCTTCGCAATGATAGGAAGAGCCGACATCGAAGGATCAAAAAGCAACGTCGCTATGAACGCTTGGCTGCCACAAGCCAGTTATCCCTGTGGTAACTTTTCTGACACCTCTTGCTGAAAACTCTTCAAGCCAAAAGGATCGATAGGCCATGCTTTCGCAGTCCCTGTGCACACTGAACAACGGGATCAAGCCAGCATTTGCCCTTTTGCTCTACGCGAGGTTTCTGTCCTCGCTGAGCTGGCCTTAGGACACCTGCGTTATTATTTGACAGATGTACCGCCCCAGTCAAACTCCGCCCCTAGCAGTTTCCTCGAATCGGATCACGCTATAGTATTGTTGGCGATCGCGCAATGGCTCACACCACTCTTATGCGCTTGGCTCTAGAAAACCGTGACAGTCGGAACGCAAGTTTTCGACGCACGCTTTCCGCCCATCGCGTAAGTAAAGAAACGATGAAAGTAGTGGTATTTCACACCGACGATATTACTATCTCCCATTATGCTATTACCTTTCATGTCTCCTTACAATGCCAGACTAGAGTCAAGCTCAACAGGGTCTTCTTTCCCCGCTAATTTTTCCAAGCCCGTTCCCTTGGCAGTGGTTTCGCTAGAAAGTAGATAGGGACATTCATTCATTATTTATTCTTATTCTGTATAGCTCGAGCTTTCACTCATTGCTATGTAGCGTCTACTTAATAATTGTTTATTTCTCAATTTAAATATTATATTTGTGGGTGTTGTGCAGGACCTTTGGCCGTCAGTGGGCTGACGTTTCCATCCCTAACCACGTGGAGGCGGTCCTGCATTTCTAGCTTCAGTTTGGATTATAGGTTTTAGCTTTGGTTTTGCACTTCATTTCTGGTTTTAATGGCTCGTGCTGCAAAAGCAACAAGCCCCAGGTAATTGGCTTTGGTTTCCAGGTACACATCAAGGTTTGTGTTCCCTGCTATTTCAAAGAGGCTTTGCCTTCTTACTTCATCATATCTGTCGCACATGACCAGCATGTGCGTGCTTGTCTCACTTTCTCCACAGAAGGGACATTTGTCGTCTTCTGTGGCGCCCCTTGTGTAAAGTGTGTGCCTAAACGGACCGTATCCGGTCAGAATGTACACGCACTCTCTACTGGGTTTAAACCACTTGTTCCTTGTAGCGTATGTAATATCGCCAATGAAACCGTAGGTTATCCTACCCGTGTTTGCCAATTCCCATCTTTTCTGCCATTCCAGCTTTATTGCTTCATTTATCATTTTAACCTCTAGATTGAGGGTTTCCCTGCTTGGGTTCGCTATTGGATTGAAATTATAATTGTTCCAGCTAACTTTCTCGTTTCTTTTTACAAGGTTTATGATGCCTTGTTGTGTAATTTCTAGGTCTAGTGGCATTTTGCCACTTATTGTTTGTAATGCATTTGTTGCGGTGGTACGGCACGCCTTGGTGAGTGTCAGCAGAATTATTCTTTGCGCGGCGTTCAAGTTTCTAAGGTTGTGCGTGTGGGACGACTTGTCGAACCACGCAGCAGCGCTGTATGTTGCTATAGGTATTATCACTGCTTTGTACAAAGTGTCAAGGGTGCCTCTTTTAAGGCCCCATTCCTCCTTTGCAACCCTCCTGATTTTCAAGATGAAGCTGACTAGCTTCTCCCTCAGAAACTTAGTGTGCGCTACAAAGTTTAGCCTGTTATCTATAGTAATTCCCAAGTATCGCACTTCTTTTGTATATTTCAGGCTATTGTTGTCAACTTTGATAATCGGTTGTCTGCCTTCATTAAATTTGCCTTTATCATCATTGCGACAGTTTTTCCACTGCTGACTCTCACTTTATGCGTCACGCACCAGTCCTCAACGCATTTAAGAGCCATGGTACCAGTTCTCTCCAGATCATTTCTGGAGTTTCCTTTAATTATTAACGCCAAGTCATCTGCGTATGCAATGGGTTCCACATTTTCTCCTAGCTGAACTAGGCCGTCTAGAAGAACGTCCATGCAGAAGTTCCATGCAACAGGACCAATTATTGATCCTTGTGGACATCCCTTCTGCATGCCTCTTCCAACCTTCTTCGTGTTGCCTCTTACATAGGCGCTTCGCCTTTTAAAGTAGTCCTTGACTATATTTACCATATGGCTGCTGCAGTTTGCCTGCGTCAGCCTATGTGTGATGGCGGGCCCCACAGGTTATCGAAGGCACCTTCAATATCCACAAATATAGCAAGTACATACTTCATATTCGTTGCCATGCATTTTCTAAAAGTTAGCAGTGCGTCCTCCGTGGAGACGCCTGCCTTAAAGCCAAATTGTCGTGCATTGCACATATTCATTTCTGTATAATTTGTCTTAATACGCTCTACGAGTATTTTCTCGTAGATCTTTCCCATCACTGGCAGAAGGGCGATTGGACGGTATGATTTGGCAAGCTTTCTGTTTTCACTCCCTCGTTTGGGAATTAGACATAGGTTTGCCTGTTTCCAATCGGTAGGAAAACTGCCATCTTGAAAGCATTTATTTAGTGTTGTAAGGATTGCTTGTTTGTTATGACTCCATAATTTTTTAATTATTTCGCCAGTGAAGCCGTCTTCTCCTGGGGCTTTTTTATCTTTCAGTTTTAGTAATGCCCGTTCTACATCAACAGAGTCGATGATTGGTTCGAGGTTCTGGTTTTGATATTGGCGTATGTTTTCTCTAATTTTAATGTGATCAGCGTTCTCTTGCTGATCATCTGGTAGGAGGCACTTTTTAAGAAGGACGTTTACAGTTTTTTCCCATGTTTCACTGAAGTTCCCGGAAGGGAGTTCTAGTGAGCATAGAGAAGCCTTCTTGTTTATTTTATCGCATACAATTTTGTATACTATACTCCAGGGATCTTCGTTACCAACGCTTGTCACAAAGTCTCTCCATGAGGTTGTTTTACGTTCTCTAATTTCTCTGACATAGTTATTTCTTGCCCTTTTGTATGCCTGCATTTTGATTGGTACGTCATCAAGACATAGTCTCTTGGCCCGCAAGAGACACTTTTTAGTTCTATTAGTTTCCCGCCTTAGACAAGTCAGCTCCTCCGACCACCATGGCATGACCTTGCTTCCGGCTTTCCTTTTGGGCATGGATTTGTCACAGATTGCTTTTAGCTTTCTGTTAATATCTTAATAGCCCTATTTGGGTCTAACCTCTGCAGAGACTCCAGACTTTGTTGGTCGAATTCCCTCTCCACCAGTTCCCCGAACCTGTCCCACTTAGCCTTTCTTGTGTTATAGCCTGTTTGATTCTTTATTTGCCTTGTGACTGATGCTTCAAGCACTACTTCAAATGTTAAAAGGCTGTGATCACTGGTGGTCGCTATATCACTCACATTCCAGTTGATCACTTTTGAAGACATATTCGGGGTTGTAAGTGTTACATCTATATTTGTGTCCCCAGCTTCACTTTGGTATGTGTAGTTGTGACCAGGCTCATTCAAAACAACTAGGTTATTAGAGGCGATCCACTCCTCTAGTTCCTTGCCTCTGCTATCCAGAGTTTTCGAAAACCACAGACCAGATTTTGCATTTGCGTCTGTCGTGACTATGATGCGGCGGCCGGCCAGGTTCCTGAGGATTCTGTCCAGCTTTCGCAGGAAGATACTTATGTCGACTGAGAACTGCATGTAGCAGTTTACGAGATACAAGCTTTCTTTACAAGTACATATCTCTACGCACATTATATGATCACATTCCAGCTCTGATCTTTGAAGATATCATATTCTCCGTCTCTTACTACGATTGCAACCCAAGGATTGGTCGTTTCCGGTTGTAGTACTCTCAGTCCTGCTGAGGTGTACCCTTTTATCATGCCCCTTATTGAGTAAGGTTCTTGAATACAGAGTATGTCAAGTCCTAACTGATGAAAAATAAGTTCTAGGTTGGCTGCTGCGGATTTAGACCTTTGTGCGTTAACTTGGGCTGCTTTTAATCCCATGAAATTTTATTTTTGTAAATTTGAAGCTGTTTCTCGTACTCAGGACATAACTTCCAAGTCACCTTGTGGCCTGTCTCCTTGCGTTTATTTCTTACGCAGTTTACGCATTTTGCGTCTTGGTCTTTGGAGCAGTCATTTGTGGTGTGTTCACTGCTGCCACAATTCTCACATACAGGTTTCTCGATTCTGCATACTCTCGCTATGTGTCCATATGCATGGCACTTATAGCAACGAGGAATTTTTACATACTCGCTGAGCCTGTATGTACGCCAGTCCATGTAGACTCTGCCCTCGTTGAGTAGTCTACTGGCGTGCTTTCCGGGTAATTGGATTACCCAGTTGTTTTTACCAAATTTTGTTTTGAATTTGGTTACCACTTTGCACTCCTTTCTTAGAAGATCTGCCTCTGCTTCTTCTAAATGTTCGAAGTTTTTCAGAATTAGACAATCCAGGAAGTTTTCTTCCTGGCAGTCTTCTTCTACATCATACATAATTACTTGTGGTTGTAGCTTTTTCGGCTCTTCCACGACTAATTTTTGCGCACTCAGATTTGCTCTTTTAATTATTTCTATATCTCGCTTGGTTTCAACCTCTAAGACAACTCCTTTATTACGGAGTTGCCGTATGCCTCTGACTTTTATTTGTTTATTAATATCTTTAAGACCAGTTTTTACGTGGTCTTTTATTTCGTCATTTGATCTCCTGTCTGTTTTGTCACATTCAGGCTTGATATATATGAATTCGCTTTTTGTTTTCTGTTGCACTATTTGCGTTGGGACTTTTGGGTTGGGTGCTCTAGATGCCACATTTGCATATGACATGTTTGTGGTTCTTTCTTTGTATTTGGTCTCTGTTTTTCCGCGCTCTAAAATTTCTTTTTGAAGCATAAGCTCCAAATTAGACCATTTTTCAAGGGAAACTTGATTGCGCCTTTGGACACTTTTTTGAGTCATTGAAAAGAAAACTTTCAAGTTGTTCTCTTTCAATTTTAACCTTATTCAAACTATCCGCAGATAGATTGGTGTGCTCTCTTTAGGGATTGTAACCCCCTTCTCTACCACTTTCTCTTTAGGGGTTGTATTCCCCTTTTCCACCACTTTCTCTTTAGGGTTGCATCCCCTTTTTAGCCACTTTCTCTTTAGGGGTTGTATCCCCCTTCACCACTCTTTCTCTTGGGTTTTGGCTTCTGCCTTTTGGGCAGCGGCCGTTTTGGACAACAGTTGTCCGTTTTAATTTTTGATTTTTGGGTGCTCATCATTGTTCCCACGAGTATAGGAGATTAGCAGTCGACCCAGGTAGCGCTCCCAGTGCCTGGGCAAGCCTGTTACTGCCGAGGTGTCGGCTGGTGCCTCGGAGTTGGTCGCTCAGGGCTGTATTTCCTCACAGCCATTCACTCCGTCGGCGCGCGCCCTACCTTAGAGTTGAGGGTGTTTTTTTATAGGATCCTTCCTCGTGTCCCGGGCGTTTAAGCCAAGGACCCCCGTTCTCCAGAGACATGACCTAGAGCTTGCGGTGTGTGCCGCTTTTATGTGGGGATCAAAGATGTTCTTGCCCCACAACCTTCCTCCTTTACCCGGGCTTAGGACCGGCAGCAGCGCGCAGGAATA